TAATCGTTATAAATCTTTTGATTTATTTTATTCTTTTCTTTATATTTTTGTCCCTTTTTCAAATTACTTTTGTAATTTAGACCTTTGAACACACGATATTGGCACAGGTCTTAGAAACCTTTGCTAATATTTATAATTCATTCTCTTTACTTAAGTTTAATCATCCCTTCCCAACATTATATGTTTATAGTAATTCTCAGTGAAACCCACTATTCAGAATCGCTGTAACAATATAATTTTGGATTACTTAAGGATATTATTTTTGCAAGAATTCAGATATTTAATTTTATTCAAGTCTTTTATTTTATTACAAAAAAATGAAAAGATTCTATGAATACTATTTGCTTGAATTTGAGCATAAATATTCTGATCATATGAAAATTTTTAAGAGATTTTTGTGTTCAGATTGGAAAATAATAAATGGATATTCAATTCAATAAATAATAATCAAGAATAAATATTTAGTTTCTAGTACAAGAAAAGAATCTAATTTTATTTATATTGTTAATAATGCTATTAGAATTTGTAGCTGTTCTATTGGAGTATTTGGTGTACTATGCAAATATTAAAATATAGTCACAGCAAAATATTATATTGAAACAATTAATTTTATATCCTCATTAATATCTGATAATTATACTGTCTACTCATTTATTGCTATTGATAAATATTAGTACTTTTTTAATAATTATTTATTAATGATGATAATTTATTATTTTAAAGATTCCAATATAAAAGATCACTCTTTTTATGCGTTATTACATGCAAATTTTGTGTTAAATAGATGTGATAATAATCTAATTCTATCTTGAAACATATCTCAAGCACAAGTATTAATACAAAATTTAAGTAGGTTCTATTATAATTTCATTTTACAATTTATTATCTCTAAATTATAGTTATTATTATAGAGAATCAGAACATCAACCAGTAGAATTTGATTATTTTTTGTTTAACATCTTTTTAGAAGAGGTCAAGGAGAATTATGAAAATTGTGGACCACAATTATGTGCAGCACTTGATAAGTTTAAAGAATGGCACAGAGCTGCTAAATTACAATTCATTCTGCAAATAAGCACTTTTCTTTATGATAATAAGTGTGATTTAGATTCTTCAATGCCTGTTAAAGGTGGTGCAATGATACGTGTTAAGATTGAGTTTATAAAATAAAGGAAAACAGAAGGATTGGGTGTCAAATAAAGATCTTTTATTAATGCAAATAAGGAAAATTTGAATTCTCAAAATATTCCTAGACACAAAGTTTGAAAAACAGGCAAAAAGGAACATGATTTAAATAAAAATGTTACTAATAATTGGTTAAATTAGATTTTACTTAAATGTTAAAATAATTATAATAATTAGTTTAAAAATAGTAAATTTAATTATTATTTACTTCACATTTCATTAAATTTAATTATTATTAATAAAGTACAAAATGATTAATAATAATTCAGATTGTTTTGCATTCAAGAATAAGAGTGAATTTTGTAGCAGAAAGGGGATGGTGTGAATGAATACATCTAAAAATAATTAAATTTAGTATTACAACAAAAAAAGAATTAATTCAATATTTTTTGTTTAAATGCATATACCTGTGCTTTCCATGTGTTTTACGTTTGAATTTCTCGAATTTCATGAGTTACCTCACTAGTGTTTGCACCAATACTATGTATTTGTATCTTTAAAAAGACCAACATGCACTTTATTTATTCCGTCCATATCCGCAATTTTGCTCTCCAAAAAACCAGAACGAAAACGAAACAGAATTACCAAGTCATTTGTTTGATTGGCTCACATAATAAATTAGGTTTTAATTTTACGGGCTCAATAAATAGTGCCGATCCATGTGATCGATCCACATGATCGGAAAACCTGGCACAGATTCAAGGAGTGCAATTCTGAAACGACGTACGTCAATTCGGATCCCGAATCGACGTGAATCCCGAAACGGCGTATAACAATGCTACCATCCCGGGATTTCACCAACGTCTAACTAGAAATCCTACGGAGCATACCATATAATGTATTAGGTTGTGTTAATAATGAGAAGGAGTTAGAGGTGGAAGAAGAGGAACAATGTGATAGCGCTTGGGGGCTTAACACGGCCAGAGAATAAGGATTTACATTATAACGCTTTGGGACCTCCCATGTAATCGTGCTAGACCCAAGCTTTTTATATTGAAATATTAGCAAGAAGTTAGTGTATGAGTCTTTAGACTCGAAGCTTTGCTTCCTCGTGCCGAAAATGCGATCGCGAAATAATAAATAATAAATTTTGATTTGACTTTCTAATCGAGAATATGTGTATGTGTTCTACAAATTAAATATTGCTTTTATTCTCCCATGTAGCTGAAAAAATATTACAGTCCTACCTGTTCGTAGAGGGGAAGCGGTTAATAAATGCGTATACTTAGTAAGCATAATCTTGTAGATTTCAACCTTTCTCGAGGTCAGCTAATGCTTCATAAGCAAATTATGCTCTCTTGCACCGAATGCGCTGGATTTAGAAAACGCGTCGAGTAGCCCATCCTCACTTGCTCCGAAATATTGGAATGCGAAGGGTGAATTCCATAAACTCAATATTACGAGACAAGCCATTCTTGCCTGGATAAGTTCATCAAATACCTTTTACCATAACAGGCGTAATAATCACATCAATCGTGAAGGACGAAATCACATTTTCTTTCATCATCGTAATCGCTTTCATTATCAGAATACTCACCATCATTATCTGATTCATTATCAGTGTAAATAAACTCGGGTTCATCTTTTAATAACCCCAAAGATTTCATAAGTAGGTAGTCACCATCTAACTCGGCATTGGCATCAACGAACTCAGGAGCGATATCTATGCTTGTCATTGCGAGATTCCTAATGGTTGCTTGTCTTAAAAATTCTCGCAACATGAGTGTTTTGTAAAAACAAATTTTTCATATCGTGTTTTACAATAAACTTTCTAAAGTCATTGCTCTTGTGTATTACTCCTCTATATTTTAAATGTTTTAATCACTAATTGTATTACGTCAAAAAAATCATTGATTTCTTAAACTCGATGTCTTTTAATCGTTGTGAAAAGGTTTTAATCATGCAAGAGCTAACAAACAACTTTTATTAAAAGAATCAACCCGTTAAGTTTTGTATCAACATTTCTCGACATGGTTAATACATAATAGTGTTGTGTCTATTCGGAAGTTTGTTTAATTAGCGAAAAAGATCACAACGCATCGTTTATGAGCTAAACTGAAT